CCTAACCCTTACCCTAACCCTAACCCTAACCCTAAGCCCTAACCCTAACCCTAACCCTAACCCTTACCCTAACCCTAACCCTAACCCTAACCCCCTTTGAGTTCCCTTGAGCCTAGTTCTATCAGGCTGTCCCCAACCCTCGAAGCCTATTGCAATCATTATCCCTAAGGCCTATCGCCAAGCCAAATCGCCTTCCCAGAACCTCTAACCCTTAATCCCTTCCTGTAGCTCCTATCCTCTAACATAAACATGAAAGACGAAATATGATCTTGTCGGCAAAGCATTTTTTTGCACTCATTATTACTGAATACATCCGAAAAAGAGCTAGCACTGCGCAAGTGATTGATATGTAACAATAAATGCCATGTTCTCCCACCAGAGGCGAAAAAACCATGAGTATTTTATAGCGAAATCGAATATACGACCAAAATATTTATTTGTTTTCTTCTCGGTGTAATAATGTAAGGCAGTTGGTGAGCCGTTAGCATAATAGAAAAGTAAGCAAACGTTAAATGGGTGACTTAGTAGAGGAGGTCATTCAAGTGATCGAAATCTTATTTGTTAATGACATTTATTGCGGACATTCATTTTTTCGACAATAAGGTTTCCAGCTTGAGTGAATCTTTAAATGGGACCCGAAGGACTATCCAGACGAAGAAGAACGTGTAAATGCCTTCAAGTAACTTACTTACTTGTACTTGATATGGCTGCGATCATGCCTGATCTAACCGGTCTCGATATCACCCGAACTTTACTTCTCCACGCGTGAAAATCCGCGGCAGCAGATTAGGACATCTCAACCCATTCTTTTCGCCAACGACGTAGACCGAATACTGAAGGTCCAAGAACCATCCTTATGTCTGACGAACTTTGCCGAGCCACGTTTTAAACTGACCCCCTCTTCGACGGCTCCAATAGGGCACCGGTGCGGGATCGAGGGCAGTAACACTGAGCTCCTGAGGTGGACGACGAAGAACATGCCGAACAACCTCAGTCGTCTTTTTTCGATAGCCTGAGTTATCCTTGCGATGTTGTCGCAGCGAGCGCCGACTGTATCATTTGAGACGAAGTCGGTGAACTTCACTCAAAGGATGGTCCGCAAGTAGGGGTGGTCAAATACCTCTAGTTTTCGCTCATCCGCCACGCACAAAGCCCAGCATTCACAACCGTAGAGAAGGACAGACCGGACAGATGCACGGTACACGCGAATCTTAGTGGCGAAGAAGAGGTCACGTCGGATCCATAGGCATTTTCGAAGGCTTGAGAAAACTTAGCGGGCGGCATCGATTCGGGAGACAGTGTCGTCCTTAACATGTCCATTAGGCAGCAGCCTCCCCCGAGGTATTTAAAACTGTTTTCTTCTTCAAGTTGACAGCCATCAATCCCAAGGGGTGCCTTATCCTGGTCAGGGATGCAGCTTTAAAGCACTTTGGTCTTCCCAGCGTTTATGGATTAACCAACCGATTTAGGGATCTCGTTCACCCGTGACACCATACACTGCAGATCACCAAAACGTGAAGATCATCGGCATAGTCGAGATCAGTCAGTCGATGTCCGGGTGCAAACTCAACGCCTTCACTCTCGTGTAGGGCTCTTCCGAGGATTCAGTCATAAGCATAGTAAAACAGTATGGGTGACAGGATACAACCCTATCGGACGCAAGACCGAATACCGAACGGTTTAGAAAGATTGTTGCGGACCAGGACTCTCACAGTAGTGGAGCGATAATAGGCCTTGATCATGGTAATGATTTTTGCCGGTGCACTATCTAGCGCCATTATCCGCCACAGGGACACACGGTGAACGGAATCGAACGCGGCGGCAAAGTCAATGAAGCAGACGGCCGTCAGTTGTTTGTAGCTATGGCGAAATTCGAGAATGCGCCTCAGTGTGAATATCTGATCTGCGCATCCACGTCCAGCACGAAATACGGCTTGGTTGGGCCTCCTCCTTGAGTCACGCACAGCCTGGAATCGCCTGAGTAATACAATAACGAAGATCTTCGCAGCAACGTCGATGGGACTTATGCCGCGATAGTTCTCGCATCTCGTTTTATCTATCTTTTTCAGATAGGTACAAGGATGCCTAAGCCCCAGTCATCAGGAACAACCTCGTCTCTGCACGCTCGTTCAATCACCTCATGGAGCCAGGGCGCCAGGGTGTCGACACAAGACTTGAAGATTTCAGTGGGTATACCGTCTTCGACGGGTGCCTTATTGTTGCTCAACTTTCGAATGACATCGGCGACTTCTCCTTCAGAAGGGGGGTCGCATGGCACTGCATAGTCCGCAGAGGGAAAAAACTCCACTGAAAAGGAGAGCAAGGGCGAGGTAGAATGGGCATCGAAGTTGATATAGTGCTCAAAGTGCTCACGCCAGCGCTCGACTTCGGCCGAGTTGTCAGCAATACAGCTGCCGTTCACGTCGCGAACAGAGTCCCTCAGTGCAGAGGGCTTACCGCTAACTTGGCGGATCAGACGGTAGAACTTTCGAGTATCACCAACGTTCGAAGCCTGTTCCATGGCGGTCGCTATTTCAGCACAATATTGCTTTCGGTCATCCCTGGTCGATTTCACCGTCATTTTTCAAAGTTGGCGGAAGCAGTCATCGTTGCGGGACCTGGTTCGAGCCGTCTGAGCAGACAACTGCAGGGTTTTATAGATGATCCAGTCGTTGCGACGTAGCTGAGTGTATCCAAGGATTTTCTCAGCTGCCCCATAGACTAAATTCTTCAGTGACGACCACTAGTTACTGACTTCTCCGTCGTCTCGGGTTGTAAAACAGGTCCGGATTTCTCTGTTCAGGGCCTAGGCAGTGCTGGCTTGTCGGATTTTTGCGACATCGAGGCGTCTAGGACGTGACATTTTTGGCGCGGATGAGAGATGAACTTTCAGGCGTGTACGGACGAGGACATGGTACGACCCATGGACGTTACCAGTCTCGGCACCACGCATCGATCTGCTATCGTGAACCCAGCTGCGGAACCTTGAGCTGACCAGTATATAGTCAATCTGACTGGCCGTATGACCGTCGTCTGAATACCATGTCAGCAGATGTTTTTTTGCGATGCTGGAAACACGTGTTGGTGACAAGCAGTCGGTTCTGATCAGCGAATTGCAACTATCTCTCACCATTTTCGCATTGGGAGCCAAGCCCAAAGCGACCAAGAAGACGACTGGTTGTGGGATCGCCATGCACATTTCGGCCATTCAAATCGCCAGCAACAATCAGCAGATCACAGCGGGGCACTCTTTCAACTAGTACTTGCGACTGAGAGTAAAACGCCTCTTTATCGCGCTGTTCGGCAGCCAAAATTGGTGCGTACACGGAGACCATTAATATGTTCGTGAAGTGGCCCTTCAGTCGCACGTAGGCCATCCGGTCATTGACTGGTTCCCAAGCAAGTAGCGCAAGGTCAGCTTGTTGCGATAGGACGATCGCCACACCGTGACGACCAGAAGAATCGCGCGGGCCACTGTGGTACAGGGTGAAGTGTGATTCGTCTCCCGGGATCTGTATTTCACGGGGGCCTGATTCAGGGAGTCGAACTTCAGACAGACAGCAGACATCTACGCTGTACTGATAAAGGCTATGTGAGGTCAGTCTTTGTGTACCGGGGTTCGGAAACGTTCGCACATTCCAGTATCCAATACCGGGAGTCCGTCCACGATTGCGTAGTCCAGCTCGCATACAATTCGACCGCACCACTGGACCAGGGTTGGGGAGTGCGTCGGTTCCTGCGGACGCCGTTGCTAGCGTCGTAATACTGTGATCGGACATATTTTATGAGGTTTCTTAGGAATTTCGAACACAGGCGGGTCCCTAACAGCCACTCGGATTGTTTGTTCGAGGTTGTTTTCCCTAGCGCTTTGTCTTAAAAGCCTAACCACAAGGAAGCGGTGGCAATTAAACCTATTTAATGGCGGTTTACGGTCGCCATGTCGCGATGCCGTCATTGGGTTTTGCGGCTTGTTATAAGGCTTTCAGTGTGCCAAACCTCAGCCCACCGAACCTTGGTAGCAATGTCGCGGCTGGTCCGTGGCTGCTTATTCTGCTTATTTCGCGGCTAACCACTATCTGCCACCTGTGGACGAGCCGGGTAACCAGAAGGTAGGCTAACGGACAACCCGTCTTACCCTTTTATTCCGAATTTATTATAAGTAAATGTTTATGCAAACTGGTTTTTGTAGCCAATTAGTTCAAAAAACCGAAAATCACGGAGTATTTTGCAGTAGTTGAAGACCGACCAGAAGCTGAGAATGAAGGCATGGGAGAAACGTTGTACTTATCTTTCCAATAATTCTGAGAACATGTTTAGCGGTGATTTCAAAAAACGACTGTTTTGAACGTTATTCTTAGGAATTGTCACATTTAGGTTGTTTTTCCATGGAGTAATTTATGTACTTCGAAATCTGACGCTAACGAAATTACAAAGCTTTCCATTTCGAAATATTTTACTATTTTGGGAAACGTAGGATGTATGATTATTTAACTATTTTCTTTAATAGATTTTTGTGTTTTTAATTTCCTTGAAATTTTTCGTTGTAAATACAGATTTTGATTCCATGCATTTGTGTCGGATTTCGAGTGATAAGTTATCATTCGTACAGCAAGTGACCTATCTCATGAAATGTTGACTGAAATTCTGAAATGCGTTTTCGATTAGGAAGGATTACATGGTCGCGTTTGTGATACTGATTATCTTAAGGCATACTCTTATAACATTTTAGACTTGGCAGGATGTCGGCTTTAAAATGCACTTCTTTTCAATCTCCGGTAGAAAGCGTGTTTGGTAAAAAAAGGCCTACTTAATTAGCAAGCATTTTCCCATTAATTTTCGATGTTATTGGAAATTTCAGTATATTTTATAGAAATCACAAACACAAATTTGCTTTCTTTTAGTCAATCAACAGAGAATCACGTTTTCTTTATATTTGACACTTAAGAAAGGAGTATAATAAGGTTTTAAAATAGTTTCTAATTATGCGACTTTTTAAGACCGCGATATGTCCATTCACATAGCATCGTACCTGGCCGTTTACTACTGCTCCTCATGAAATATACAACCTGATCCGCATCCATTGCACAAGTTTATGGACCCTGTATGATATCGCTTTAATGACATAGAACAATATGGGATTTTCTTTACGCGGAACGTATGCACCTTGTAGAGTGTAATCACTAAGCGCTAATTCAACGAATGATCAGGCTCCAAATTTTTCGGCAATTAGAAAACCTTTTTAAAACCTAATTATACTCCTTTCTTAAGCATAAAATATAAAGAAGACGTGATTCTCTATTGATTGATTAAAAGAAGGCATATTTTTGTTTATGGCTTCTATAAAATATATTTGAGTTGGCAAGACCATCGATAATCAATGGGAAAAATGCATGCTACTTAAGTAGTCATTGTTTGCCGAGCACGCTTTCTGAAGGAGATTGAAAAGAAGTGCATTTAAAAGCCGACATCCTGCCAAGTCTAAAATGTTATAAGAGTATGCCTTAAGATAATCAGTATCACAACCGCAGCCAAGTAATCCTTCCTAATCGAAAACGCATTTCAGAATTTCAGCCAACATTTCATGAGACAGGTCACGCACTGTAGGCTTCGACGCTTTGTCCCAATCGCGTCACCGACTGTATCATCGTCACATCCTTTTTTACAATCGGCTAATTAACCGCGAATATACATTGACCGGCATATCAGTAAATAATGAAGTACAAAGACAATTACTTAAGACACAAATGAAACCAAATCGTTGAGAAATGCGCTGCTGCCCAGACGTGTTGGACCGTGTTGGATCGGTGTACCCTACGCGTTAATGTCTTAACGTAACTTCCATGCTAACCTACTACTACTGCCGTGCATGGGCGCATGACTATTATCTTAGACGTCGGCTTTCACATCACATCAGCCGCTGCGTCCAATGGCGTCGCTAATTTGTTGGCAAGTTGTCAAGTGCATGAGAAAAGAAGCAGAGAATAAGGCCAGTAGTAGGGAACCCTCCTGCAAGACATGGAAGGTCGTCAATTGACTGGGCAACTGGGTCCTCTCAGGATGCAGAGTCCAACGGCTCCTTCGACCGTTCTGATTCTGTCTTCTCTTATAACCCAAGGCAAGTGAGGGAGGACAGATTGTGGAAAATGGGACGCATGTCTACGCCACTATACACTATTTCACAGGCAACTTGCTGGTTCTGCGTCCGCTGCATCGGACAGGGGTTTGGTATCGTTTATTGTGGTGCTCGAAACGCTGCCTAAATGGGCTGGAAGTAACATCACCGACGAAGATGGTTGTATAGTATAAGTTTCTGACTAACTATAGGATTTAGGAAAACAATTCGAGAAAATAAGGGGTACCAACCGCATTTTTGAAGATGCCTATGCAACATTCATTAAGACCTAAGCTTGAACTTTTTCCACTTTGCAGAAAATTGCGTTGTTATGGCACAATTTTGGAAGATTTAGTCTTACCACATATTTCTAAGCCGCAACGTTTTTGTGAGAAAAAGAATTTTTGGCCATTCTTGGGCGGCTGCTTGCATTCAAGAAAAAGCTAAATTGTATGGTCGATTATTGTGACCAGCATACTAGTCATGCAAGGAAGATACCCTTTCCTGTGCGGCTGTTGCCCATTGTGGTCACATAGGCTACTAGTAATGTTTTCACTCCGTCTATGGAGGCTGTGGCATGTGAAACGTCGCCCTTTGCCTGATAATGCAGTCAACAGAAGGAGGTGGACAGTTTTAAATAGTTCGGAGCGAGGCTGTCATCGAATGACTAGAGTGCAAAATACACCAGATAAAACATCTGTATCTGCCTTTTTGCCAACTGAGTCAGCCAGTATTCCGTAGCATGTCCACACCCGCCGGAACTGCAATCCGGTTGGTATTATGAGCAAAGGGATTCCCATTATAGAGTTTTCTTCCGAATTATTTGGATAGCTTCTGTCGGCTGCGGATGCAGTGGCAGATCTTGTGTATGAAATATTTAACTTAGGTGTTGTGATAAACCTAACCTAAATTATTTCGCAGTTTACCCGGATTTTGGCGAGTTTAATGTGCGCCAATGACCGTTCATTTAATTCTCAGTGCTGTGGGGTTTGAAATCTTTTATTCTACAGCGGAGATTGAACAAGGACCTGTGGAAGGGGAGATTGGCTCCAACAAGTAAAAGCGATAAAAATTCATGGGCGTCTCTTATTTCCCCAAGACGCCACGAAGTCAGTAAACCCTGCTAATTTCGGGTACTACTGGGCGTGCTTCAATTATTTTTCTTATTCTCCTTACCTCTCTCAGAATGATGGCTTGGGTATTTTAAACTCGATCTGAACAACCTTCATTAAAAAATCATGCATTTCTCCTAACACTAAATTCCAAACTGCGTCTTACCAGTGTATTACTTCTTCTGGACGATCTGTCTAGATTTGGCGTCCCAGAGTCAGCGCGAGCGGTTGAACCGCGGGCAAGGGGGCGCCATTAGCTCTGGAAAAAGTGTTGGCGACAATTCCCCAATGGTGAGCGGACACTTTTACCATCTTCCGACCGCCCAATATATGATACGACCTGAGATTTATGTGTAAGGCAGTGCGGTCACTGCTGTTAATTTTAAATACCCAAAACCAAGAAATTTAAGGCGTGACTCTTGTCTAACGATTCAGTGTGCAATATAACCACAACCTCTGACGATGGAGGCTTGCCTGCTTCCAAAACGTCAAAGATAAGCCTGTTATGTAACCTTTTCTTCTTCTGTTGTGGAACAGCCCTAAGTTCAGAAGCCTCTAAAAGAGTACCAGACCACGTCTTCGCAACTGACCGTTCAGTAGAATTTCAGTCGAAGATAAGAGTGGACTGACGGCTCTGTCTGTCCATTGTCATCTGGCCATCTACAAGAAAATAACAAAGACATCTGGGTTTACCGCACGGTTGAAGCACTAACCTATGATGGATCTGGATGAACCTTCTGCGTGCGAAGTAATGAAGTCCTGCTCATTTGGTCATCACTGAGAATTCTTTCGATAGAAAAGAAGTAGCTTCAGTTATTTCCCTCTATCTTTTTTTCTTTTTGTCCTTCCTTTCTCCTGCACCATGTCAAACGCGTGGACTTAAAAAACAGAAATTCAACGGAAAAATATGACCAAGTACTACGAGCATCATATCCGCATGTACTTATGCACTCAGTATTCGCAGGTCAAAATTATCTACATTTCACTTGTATAGGAATGCTGGAAGGTTCGGCAAATAAGGACAAAAAACAGTCAGATAACAATTTGTGTTCTTTCTCAAGCTAGAGCGTAGAAGGGGTTTCGCTTAATCCGCCTTAACAAGAGAGGATCGACAGGCAAGAGAACTTCGTAGAAGCAAGTTCTACCAATAATCAAAGGAGGTGTTTCAGGGCGCGTTCGCCTCTGCGCCCATTTCTGAGTCATTCTCGCTTTCAGAGGAGGAGGATGATTGATTAAATCCGTCGTCCAGTAATTTGCTTAGAGCCTTGCGCATCGTCACTCGGTAATTGGTAGCAGTTTCGGACGAACTCGCCTTAACGGCATGCTTCCTTTCCTTCCTAGAGAATTGGTCGTAGCAGGCGTCAAAAAGTGTTGTCATGGCGACTAGCCGAAGGTGGTCGTTCTTAGTGAAGTCCATCATATTTACGTTAACGTACTGTCCATCTAAGTCCTATAATGTAAGAGCGGTAAAAGAACAAATGCCGCGCTCCAAGTTGAGTGAAATTTGGCAATGGCAACTAAATATATCACACTATAAAGATCCATAGCGGTGCCA